CCATCCAGACCCTAACAGCCTCGAGGCACTGGCACATCACGTCAACCGCTTCACTGAGTTGGCATGCGGCGGACCGACACAACTGTGTATCGTCCGCATACTGATGGTATTTTATCCCGTGCCGTCGAATGATCTCATCCAGCGGCTTCATGTAGCGGCTTCACCTTAATTTATGCTTCAGTTGAAAATCAAATATTAGGAAATAATCCAATTTTTCAATGTCTCTGGCAACAAAAATAAGCCTTGCAAGAAAAAGGTCCAGGGAAAACTCCAATTCCCCCCCCCCAAAAAAAAAAGATTTTCCAGATTTTTATTGGGCCATCATTCTCAGAAACATCTAGCTGATTAACGCCTATTAATTATTGCAGCTATGTGAGGGTGAGAGAAAAGAGGATTTCAAGTGCAAACAATGAGAGAGAAACTATGCCCTGGCCTGGCTAATTGTATGCTTCCCAGAAATCATCTGTGGCCACTCTTGAAGAAAGAATGCTGAAGTAGACAGACTTTGGTCTGACACTGAGGGGCCATTTTTCTTGGGAGCAAATTACCTGTCATATTAAATGATTGCATTTAATATGTCTTTTGCTGTGGTGGTGGTTTAATTAAATAGCAAATCTACTCTGAAGCAAACTGCAACTCTGGGAAACGTAAGTGAACTTCAAGAACTTATATGCCTGCCCCCACCTCCTGCCCACCAAAGGTGGCAAAAATACAGAGAGTGAATATAGAACATTTTTTACAAGCTAAAAGAATAAGCAACTTGGGGGCTAGAGAACAAAATTTGACATTTTATTGAATGCCTTATTCCCCACTACCACCATTTGAAGTGACAGATATATCTGCTCTGCACAGCGGAGATCGAAAACACATTAAGCAGAAGTAAATTACAGACATAGCTGCATTAAGTTAAAAGTAGACTGTATTAGGTTAAAAGAAGTAGACTGAAATACTAACTAGATTACTGAGATACAAGCAATAGCTTTGAAAAAGAACCCTACCTATGAAAGTGCAAATAATTAAGAGTTTGTAAGCTATTTTTTCTTCACCCAGAAGAGGGAAGAGATAGTTCCGGCCACTTTACCCGTGCAAGAAACAAGTATTATCAGGAGAAATTGTTCTAACCATCTATGTAGTGGTCTAAAGTTCATAACAATTGCAATTGCTAATTTGCAGTTATACTTCAACCTAGATCAAAGTAAATATTGCACAGCTTTACACTTTAATACAGTTAAATACAGTTACAATTAATACAATCAACTGCCACAGAATTTTTAAAATAGCATCATTTTAAATAAATCCCATTTATTTATGTATTCCTTAATCAACATATTTTAAAAATCCTGCATTTTTCTTTTTCTTTTAGATTTTATATCTTCAACCTTTTGGGACCACTTCTTAATATAAAACTATTATACAAATTATTTTTGTTGAGGGGATACCTACAACATCCTAAAAACAAAGATCCAATTTATTTATAATTTGGAGTAAAATGATAGTAGTCTGCTAGTACTCACTATAGTAAAGACAGTTCTGCTGTTAAAAATATTTATCAAGCAAAAATCTTTCTACCTGATTCTCACATTTCTCCATTTTCTCTTAACAATTAGTATTAAGACATATTATTTGCATACATGCAGAATAATTAAAAATCATTATATGTTCAAATATAAATAGGATATATTGATATAAGCCATAAAACAGTATTTGAGAAAAAACCTACCCTGGATTATACAGCATAACTGTTGAGAGGTTTTCACAAGATTTTGAAATATCTGACATGGACAAACTGAAGGAAGAAAGTAATCCACTCTGTTAAAGACAACAGAAACGTTAATGGTTATTTGACTAACTGATGGATCACTTATGTGCTATCAAGTTGATTTTGACTCCTTGTAACTACATAGAAACATGATAGCAAACCTAGGGCACGTGTGCCAGACATGGCACTCAGACCCCTCTCTGTGGGCATGCACGCAGTCGCTCCTGCCCAGCTCCAATTGTGTTTCTCCATCACATTTCGCTCAATCAATTCCAACTTCTCGTGAAAGAAAAAGATCTGATTAAGAATTGATTGAGTGAACTTTTTAACTTGCGCGCTTCACAATGGAGTAGATAAGATCCCATCCTCCTCCTGAAGCCCATTACGATGCAGAGTCACAATGTGACCCTGTGTCATCTCGGCTGGGCAACAAAAGCAGTTTCTTTTCCTGCAATACCAGTGTTGGCATGCCTTGCCTCCATGCTGGCCAGCTGGGCTTCTTCAGGCATTTAGCTTAGCCACCTATTTGTTCCACCCCATCCTCCGCCTCAGCGAAAACGGAGAGGGAGAAGAGGGCAGTGGCAGCCGCTAGCATTGAGGGGAGAGTAACATACAGAAATGGGAGCATAGAGGAATGCCACCCCCTTCTCCCTTTCCATTTCTGCTGCTGGGTGATCCCGTGTGAAGAAGTGGGCTAGCAGAGAGGGGAGAGTGTGAGGTTGCTGCTTCTGGGACCTAGGAAGCATCTGGGTCCTGTTCATCCAGCTTCTCTTTCTCTTACAGCCCGCTTTCCCAGTCTAGTTTGATGCAGGCTTCTTCCTCAGGCCCCTGTCTGTCCCCCCCCCCACAACATCTGGACTAGGCAAAAAGCCATCCCTCACTGACGCCCAGCTTCACCGACAGTGGGCTTGGAAAGGGAAGTTGTGAGCTATGCTGCTGCCTGTGTCAAGATAGACTGGGGGGGGGGGAGGCAATGTCAGCAAGCACCGAGATCGCAGAGAAGGAAAGCCAAGCAAAGGGGTGAGCGAAGGTATCCACGGCATGCCTGGCCTGGCAGGCTTTCTAAGCCTGTCTAAAGCAGAGAGGGAGGGTGGGAGAAAGAGAGAGAGAGATCCAATCTAGTATCTGTGTGTGTGAGAGAGAGGGCGGGGGGAGAGAGAGATGCGATCCAATCTTGGAGAGTTATATCAGGGCTGACGGAGGTATGCTCTCTTTCTCTCTCTCTCTCTCTCTCTCTCTCTCTCTCTCTCTCTCTCTCTCACACACACACACACACACACACACACACAAACAGGTTGGATGTTTCTTTCTTTCCTCCCACCCCACTCACTGGAGGCCCCTGGATTCCCGCCCCAACCCTGCCTGTCTCACACAGTCACACCCACATGAGTGACATAGAGCTGACCATGCCCACTTAGTCACATGACACCCACCACCACACCCACCCAGTCATTAGGAAGAACCAGTTATTAAATTATTTGAATCCCATCACTAGTAGCAAAACCTCATTATTCAGGTTAAATTGCCGTGTTGGCACTTTACGATAAATAAGTGGGGTTTGGGTTGCAGTTTGGGCACTCGGTCCCTCAAAGGTTCGCCATCACTGACAGATTATTTCCTCTATGACAATAATTTTTACATAAGAAAATTTTGGGGTGAGGGGCATAAACATTCTACTTTAATTTCATTCAAATTATTGCACCAAGATCAATCAGGTATTTATGTTTAGAACGAATGGAAGTTTGCTATGTATTCAATAATCTCACCTTTCTTTTCTCCCTCAGTTTGGCTGCTTCCTTGGGGTGATTGAATCGAAACATATTTGTCCGCCCAAGTAATATTACAGCACCTGGCAAGAAAATCATTGAAGCCATAAGCAAACCAAAGGCACAGATATTTCTTCAATTCAGACTAAAACACAATTAGTTTACTCCATCATGGAATGAAAAATACATTTTTTAGAAAATGAGCTGTAGACTGCCACTTTTAAAAATGAAATGTATGGTGTTTGTATTCTAAGCTGGGTAAAATTGCTTACTCAGAACTTTTAAGAGCAAGAGAAAACCATTTATTGGCAATAAACTTTTCTCCCAATTTAAAAGAAATCCTCCAGGCTTTTTGAAATGATTCAAGTGGAATAAAGTGAGTTTTAGTCATCATAACCATATGTTTTTTAATATTTATTTTTCAACAAACACAAAGAAACACGAATATATTTTTTAAAAAATGTGTGGGAGCTCATAAAAACTCACACAGGAAGCACTGTTTTTATACCAGATTATTTGAATAAATTGTACTATATAACAGCAATCATATCAATTGTTGTATTAACTGATCACTTGCAGTAGAAGTTTGGCAAGACAAAATTTCTCACAAAGCAAATCCATTATACTCTGCATAAAAAATAGTATTTCCACCCATATTTTAATAATTACATGCAATGACATAATGATAAAAGTTGAAAGGGTCTTATGAATAAATAAATAGACAAACAAATAAATATATTTTTTATTCCAGACTGAATATGGCAGGGAGGTGATTGAACATCTAAAATCCTGTGAAATTTACCAGAAGGTGGAGAATAGCAGGGATAATCACATTTTATAATCCTTCTCTATCATGGAAGCTCTATACCAGAGATTGGCAGATATAGTCAATATAAGACAAATCTCCAACTAGATTCCTCAGAACCACCACTTTGTATAAACTCTTGTGGCCTTTACCACTAAACGGACTAAGGCAGCAGTTCTACACTGAATTTTACTAAGACTTTAAATCAAATCTTAATTCATATTTTTGCCAGGATGGGTTGAACAGTGTAGATCCTGACAGATGCAGCAACTTACTTTCCTGTCAGACATCATGTGGAAGTTATGAGCTACTTACAGCATGGAACATCTCATATCCGTTCCATGTTATCATCAGACAAATAGATTAATGGAAAGTTGAATGAAACTTGGGGTCCATGTTTGAAAAATCTATAGGAGAACATTTCAACAAATTGGAACTTGATATTGACACAGCTTGTTTCCATGCAGGGCTGTGATACAGCCTAGTTTGGGATTTCTTCTTGTGTACATGAAGGATAAGTCTGAATTAGCGCAGAGATTTCATTCTGATATATGCTTTGTGAGTATTTTGACCATGATCAGAATGCTTTTCACTATACTATTATGTCTACTCTTTCACAACCAGGAGAGAATAGATAAAGTGGCAGAATAGACTGAACAACCTCAGTGATCAAGAAGAACAAATGCAAACAAACATGAGCACAGATTTAGGTCTACACTATGGCAATCAAAGAGGCAAAACATTAATACTTTGCATCTATTGTTTCCATAGATTGGCATCCATTCACCCTTATTTAGAGCAATCCAAACTATTCTGGGTAGGAAAATAGGTTTTTGGGGTGCTGTGATGATTTTTCCAAGCATTGAGGGGGGGCACATATATACAAACCTGCTGAGCAAGTTTTAAAAAGATGACAGATATACAGTCCTGCCAAATTATTTGCAAAAAATAAAATTAAAAATAAACCAAGATCTTCTGTGTCATGAGCAGCATGGATTAGGTATTTGTCCTATTTCTTTGATGAAAACTGACAAGGTAACTTTATCTTGATGAAGTGCTGTGGCTAAATGCAGCCTTGAGTGATGAGATCATGCTACCTGACTTGAAGAAAGTGGCAGTGCATCCTTTTTTCAACTTGCCATTGCTTGACCCAGCTATTAGCCTTTCTCCAACCTTCTCTTTCTGGGAAACTTTCTTAAAAAGGCAGCAGACCTGTAGTTATACAGTGGTTTCAATGAAGCAGAATATCTAAATTCTTTTCAGTTGGTTTCAGTTCAAGGAATGAGACTACATTGATTGCTCTTACAGTGATCAGTGGTAGGACATGGGCTGGAGGGAATATGGCCTTCCTGGTCTTGCTGGATCTCTCAGTTACCTTCAGTAATGAGCAAGGCATGCTTGTGAAGTCAGAATTGGGAGTATGCTTTGCAGTAATCTTTTCTGATGGGAAGTTTCATTTGAGGGTAATCTTAACCCTTTTCAGTCTCATTTCATTTCCATATGAGGTCAAAGGAGGGGAATAATTCCTCCCGCAATGACAGCTTATAGTCAGGGGAGGTGGAGCCATGACCAGGAAGACCTATGCATAGATCTATATTGTACACAAGTTGTGTTCATTCTTGGACCTTATAGCTTTGCAAACCATCATTAATGCCTCTATTCCTTCACATTTGCTTTATATAAGGTTGCCCTTAAAAATCATATGGAAGCTACAGAATGCAGCAGCCCTAAGAAACATCACCATTAAGAACTCCAAGGTGAGCCTATCCTCTGCACTGTCTGATTCTATATAATACTGGTGTCATCTCTGCTGCTGTTTTCTAAGACAGTCAAGACCTGGGGTTTTGGGAGGTTATTTGGGGATGGATGACTACTGTCTTGCTGCTGAAGAAATAGCAATTGTTGTGAATTATGACAAGTATGACTGTATAGTGGCTTATGATAATAATTTTATTTTTGTGTCATTATCAGTTTTGCTTTGGGATCAACTGTATTTTAATGCTACACTTATAATGAATAAAGCTAAGTTTCATAGAGTGGTTTTATAAGCTTTAGCAAATAAATAAATAAATCTGAATTTATATCTTGAATCTGATCTGTCTAACCCATACCATACCATTGTTCCAAGTGAGTTAGCTTTTTATGTTCTGCTCTAATTTACTCAAATTGAGAATACCTCAAACATTTATTCTTGACTTGGAAAGATAAAAATTATCTGGACTCTGGAGATTCAAATTAAAAACCTAGATTCCGTTCTATAAATATTATGAACCATTACATGCATTGAAAATACTGAAAATTAAATAGTTCAGCAGGGCAAGAGAAACTGGAAGAATTAATTTTCAGAGATGAAAACAGAATATGGTTTATAAATGAGGAGGTAGGTTTTCTGTGCAGTGTCACTTATGGTAAGTGATTTTGAATATAGCCAGGTGATTACATTCTGTTTGGTAAATTCTATCAATTTTCTTGTTCCAGCAGTTTATAGATAGAAATCAGTATCAAATAAATGTGATTTCCATGTGGCATGGCTTACACATTTCTTCAAATACTTGTACTTCAGTTTGCCTTTAATTTCATGTAAATATTCCAATCCACTATGGAAGTAAAAATGTAATAAAATTGATAGGACTCTACTGCATTGGTTCTTAGAGAAGAAGAATCCAGTGCTCTCTTTTCATTCAAAATTATACTAACAATTCTTACTAAATCTTATCCCAGGCTAATATTAAAGATTTACTGTTCATATAATTTTATACTGTAAACCTAGTTCAATACTCTCTGTAATTTATGTGATGCATTGTTTTTTCTCCAATTTCTATATTCCTTTTGCAACTACTAGGTCTGAAGTTACAATTCCAGAAGCTATGCCATAAAATGGTTTCTTTTGACTGTTATGTAGATACTTATTACTTAACATTCTTCTTGTTCTGAAAGTTAAATTTTCTATTTTCTTTTTGAAAGATAGTTACTCAATCAACTGTTTCAAATCAATGGGAAAAGTAATTCTATGTGGCACATTTATATTACAATATTATAAAAATTCACATTTTCCCAAGCATTTACAGAATTTAATACAGTATTTGCAACTAATAGCTTAAAATATTTAGAAAACTTCAGTTGTAGGATTTATTTCTACAAACAAATCAATTTTAGAGTAAATAAACATCGCAAAAGAAGGTATTTCAGTACTTCCAATGTCATTTGAAGGAAATGTCATTCTGCTCAAAGTCAATTACACAACCAAAAGAGATTTAGAGTTTAAGGGCAGGTGAGATGTGATACCAATTGCACCCATACAATCTAAAAAAATAGCCCGTTTTGTTATCTGAATAGTAGATCCACAAAGTCTGGAGATTCTTGAGATCTTAGTAGGGAGGAGGAGGAGGAGGAAAAGTTACATGCTTGATGTTAATGTAACTGATATAAATGTAACTCCACTGTAACTGGAAATATATGCATGACTGTCATTATAACCAGTTACTCTGAGTCAGAATAGAAAGTTGAGGTTTTTTTAAAAAAGTAGATTAGTATTGTAAATTCAAAAGAATTAGACTAGATTGTGTTACATATGTGCAACATGCATAATGTCCTACTAATAGTAAGGGCCCGATATCATTATGTTATCATACAGTTTGGCTAACATACTGCAAGTACAACCAAAGCTGAAACATATGTTTTTTACTCCAAACACATTTACATTATCCTAAGTAATCTAGATTTCTCATCTAAGGCCACCTTGTAAGCCAAGTAAACCACTTGTCAACTCTCAAAAAGACTCTAGCTGAAGCCATATGTTTCTTAGTTGCCATAATTTCGGAGGGGTGGTGCTGGAGGGGGACTTAGGGATGTAGAATGTTTTCCCCCAATGTGCCAGACATAACAATGATAAGGCTCCTGGAAACCAAGTCTAAATCAGCATACCCTAGCAACAGCAAAATGGAGTGCTGAGAAGCTCATCACCTGCTTGGGTGGCTAACGTGACCTATGACTCAAGTGGGGTGCACAGTATCTATTCTTTTTATAATTATTATTATTTTATTGATTTTCTACTAAATACATTTCTTAGTGCTTAATAAGCATTGTGTTGTCTGGGTATTTAATTTATTTAACCACACAAAATTACATTCTTAATCTCCACTCCCTTTTTTCCAGCCATTGGTAAAATAAATTCCATGTTTGACAGTATTCTACATCCTCTTTCTGTTTAATTTTCAATGTCAATTTATCCATTTCTTCTTAACTATTTCTTCATCTCACAGTATATCTTCATTTTTCCAATATTGTGCAAAAATAATCCTCACTGTTGTTAAGACATGTAATATTAAATGCATACTTTTCTTATCAAGTTTTTCTGATATTATACCTAATAAAAACAGTTCAGGTTTGAAATCTACTTGTTTCCCTATCATCTTTTCTAACCACCTGTGTATCTTTGCTCAACATTTTTTTTGCTTTGTCACAAGTCCATCAAATGTGATAAAATGTACCTGCTGACGATCTATTCTTTATTATACCAAAAACGCGGGAATTATCCAGGGTTGGTTTCACCTTTGACTGTGCTGATATGATGTACCAAATAAACTGGGTTTTTGAGGAAGCCAAGGCCTCAAGTCTTGAATTGGTTGGGAGTATTACACGGAACCATGACACCACTGACAGCTTCCCACTACTTATATATATACGATAAAATAAAAGAAATAGAATAATACATGGATAACGAATGTGAATACAAAAGTGAAATATGGCAGACTTTTTTCTGGCTTCGGTTTTCTCATTCATAGCTCCTCTAGTTCTCTTTCATATAAATTACATGCTTCGTTGCATTGATCTTATAATTCTGACTCTACATTCTGCAGGTCAAATTTCATTATTCCTGTATATAGTTTCATGACCTGAATAGTACAACACGTATCTGATTTAAAATGGCTCATTTTTGACAATTTCAATTTTTCCTTGGTTTATGCTTCTCACATTCCATGTTCCAATGATATATCTCCTATTAAAAGATGAATTTTTCTTTCAGTAGTGGTTCCTTTGTTGATAGAATTTATTAGGGCTTTGTTCAGGCCATATTTCTGTCTTCAGATTTGCTTGTTAAAAGTTCAAAGCTTTTCCCCTGTAATTAGAGGAAAGTCTTCCAAATTGTGAGTCTTAACATCTGGCATCATTAATTCATCCAAACATTATAGACATAGGCAGAGTGAAACAAAAATGGTTTGCTATTCCAAGTTTGATTTGGAATTTAAGCAATGGGTGGAAACTAATCAAGGAGAGAAGCAACTTAGAACTGAGGAGAAATTTCCTGACAGAATAATTAATCAGTGGAACAGCTTGTCTCCAGAAGTTGTGAATGCCCCAACACTGGAAATCTTTAAGAAGATGTTGGATAGCCATTTGACTGAAACGGTAAAGGGTTTCCTGCCTAGGCAGTGGGTTGGACTAGAAGACCTCCAAGGTCCCTTCCAACTCTGCTATTGTATTATTGTATTATTGTATTAAAGTTCTTCTCCTATATAAGTTGGTTTGTCTGATGTTTGAAAAGCCCACCTATCGTTCTTCCACCCCCGTGGTATATTACCCAAAGATCTCCTCCCTTTTTGATCTGACTAGAAGGATGACTTAGCTAAGATGACCTTGCAAGCATTACTGTTACAGTCATTGATGCTACTGAACTTTCCCATCACAGCAAAGTGGTAATTGATGATCTCTGAGTTTGGTTGTTTTCTTGCACACGTTTCAATAATCAGACTAGGTCACATCATCAATGCTAGTGGTAATAGCTTAGTAATATCGCTTTCAAAATTAATGGTCATCACTACAACTTGAAAAAGAATAGGACAATTTTTTTTATCTCAACTTACATTCCTATGTATTCTGATAAATTTTTAAATCTGAATTTACATTCCTATGTATTCTGATAAGCAATTTCAGTAAACTCAGTGAAATAAATGAACAAATCACACTTTAAAGTGAGCAGAAGCTGGAATTTACAGCCATGCCTAAAGTAACAGAGTGCTAACAAGATAAGTAAAATACAAGCAAGCAAATCACTAAGGACTAAACTAGATGGCTGGGAACATTCAGTGCTTGGAAACCAAGCTATTTTGATTTAAGTTAAATAACATTTATTAGCTAAAAGTTCTTAGACATTGTTTGGGGTAAGAGCTCCATTTTGTTTAGGAAAGTGTGATGTCTTTTGGAAGACATCTATGGAATATGGAATATTTTAATACACATATAAATAACCTAGTCAGTAAGGATAATCGTATTAATCACCCTGACAATAATATCCTAATGGGTTGTGGCTCATTAACTAACAATATAATATAACTAATTAAACAAAAGTAGATTTGCATAAGTCACAAAGATGGTTTGTAAGCCACTTCTCCCTGGATATTGCTTATTGGCCCCTGGTGCAGAAACTGTCAATTAATCAATTTATGCTTTGATGTATTGTATCTCTATATCTAGTGTAAGAGTACTCTATGGGAAAAAACATTCCTTCAATAGCAAATTTCATACCTTAGTTTTATGCTAAGTGATTGCCTAATGTAGTTAAGGCATAAGGCTAAAATCAGTGGACCATAAGTTCTAGTCCCACCTTAGCAATGAAGCCTATTGGCTGACCTTGGGCCAGTCACTCTCTTTCAGCCCTGGGAAGCAGGAAATGGCAAGTCACTTCTGAAACCTTGGCAAGAAAACTGCAGAGACTAATACACCCACACCCACCCACAGACACAATCTATAGAAAGGAAATATTGTTTAGTACAAGGTTAGCAATTTTGGTTGTAACTTTCTTCGAAATTTTTAAAATAGGAAGTAGAATGCAAGTTCTTTAAATAAAATAATTTAAGTAACTAATTTTTCTAGACAACCTTACTCTGTGACAAGGTCAATAACTATCTCTGAATTTCCTTTCCTCTGTTTACTGGCTCTAAACGTGTACAACACTACTTATATGGCTCATGTTATTAGCAAGTCTTCTTATTATGCTCATTGCTGAAGTCTTTATTTCATTATCTTTAAAATATAGTTCCCTCCAACTCCTTCTTTGTCCAACCATTTAAAATTAATACTATTTTTCAAATGAAAGGGTACAGATAAGCATGAAGAAGCTAATTAAAAATTTCTGACATAGGTATTTAAAGGTCCAAAAATTCCAGACTTAAAAATATTTAACAAATAGTTCTCATACATGATTCTTAAAAGCTAATGCTAATTATATTATGAAATATGACAGTTGCCATTTGTCTATATTTAAGCTAGTAGCCTTAGTGAATCTAGAATATGTAAATTTTCTTCTAAAACATGTGTTCTCAAAGTTAAGGCCATAATGGCATGAAGAAAAATAAAAACACGTCTCAATTTAACATACTTATAGAATTGAAGAACCCTAAATTGCATAATATTTCTTCTTATACACCTCAGCATGCAGATAGTAAAGTTAAATAAAATAGTGTGTGTGGGTGTTATATAAAGCCTTGAGAGAACATTACAAATAGATGCATACTCTGTTAGGGGTTAACACTCAAGCATCTGGAATATCATAATCTACCTGGAGATATTGATTTTGTCCTTAGATTGGTGAGGAAACTGATGAAAAGCTGTACATTTCTCAGAGTAACTGAATTCTTTAAAAGATGCAAAGCTATAGCAGTTTTGCAATCGTTTCTCTCCTTCCTTCATGTTAATACTCAGAAGCCATGAGAAAGATTTTGTGATGAAATAAGGATGGTAAAGGGAAAATAAAATGGAACCGCTTTTTTCAAGACACTTTTGAAAATGAAATTAAGCAAACTGAACATTGCTGCAGGCACAAGTTTAGTGCAAACATTCAGATGAATTAAATGGTCCTTGCATCGTCAAATCCTCAGGGGACTGGCAAGGAACTGAGATGGCTCCTTTGTTGTTAACATCTGCTGTCCTTTCTTAGCTTTTGTGATTTTTTTTCAATAGTAATTTTTAAAAATATCTTAACTGTTTTATAGACTTATGTTACACGACTCAGAATCACTTTTTCATAAGACGCCCAGCCCATATAAATCTTGATGAATAAATAATTAAAATAAGTTTCCTTCTTCTGATGTGATGCTTAAATTCTCTAAGATAAGCAGGAGGTACTTGCATCTATTATATTCCAATGTGTGGCTAGGATGACTTAATTTCTGTTCACTTTGTGGAAAGGTTAGACCTAAGATGCCTGGAAATCACAAACTGTTTTAGTCTCCACTAAAATAAATTTCTACTACCACCAGTACACTCATAGCCTGACAGTTTTCAGATGTATTGGACCTGAAAGCATGATGACTGGTAATGATAGAAAATGCAATCTAAACACATTTGAAAAGCAGCAGAGAAGGCTGGATTGGACAAGTACAGTACATGCATCTCATTAATGTATCATCTGTACAGCTGAACTTCAATAAAATATGTAGAAGACATGTGAAATGAGAAAAGGCAAAGAAATGTCTAGGATAATACCTTGGTTGAGTTGTGTAGCCTCTGTGATTTGAATTCCATTTATAGAACACTGTGCTCCATCGAGTGGTATTAAATGAACCGTTCCATTGAAGTGTTCAAAAATGCAGTGCTCACTTTCCAAATCAAGACCATGAAGCACTAAAACACAAAACAGATTTGTAATAATGATTACAATAGGATTTTTATTTTTCTAATCCTGATGTTTTAATCTATTAACACTTATTAATTCCTAGATTTCATATTTTCTTTGCATTGTCCACATACAGAGAAAGAATATAAATAAGCAAGATAAATAAAGTAGTCTACATAGAAACAAAGAAATAGATCAAAATGTACACATTTTTAAAATAACAATTCAAACATAAAATTGATTAGATATCAGTGGACATTGAAAATTGTATTGTGTTAGAGAATCATATGGAGCAAGGGTCCCCAACCTGTGGGCCGCAGCCCACTATCAGGCCTTGAGCCATTTGGAACCAGGCCACAGAATTGAGGGGGCAAGAACGCGCTCATCCTCACTTGTGTGAGCAGCAGGCAAGCACATGCACACACACTCCATTTGCGTGAGAGGTAGGCATGCATGCCCACCGCTCAGATGGACCCATCCCCTCTCCTCCCGACCTTGTGAGTGTGTGTGTGTATATATATACTCAATATTATAATGTAAACATAGTGAAATTTGGCCCTATTAGCATGTAAAATCAAATCCTTCAGAATTACAAAATGCATAATTCCTCCACTAATGAGTGGTTATGCATACTTGGAAGTCTTATCCATTCAGTTAAGTGGAAATAGCACCCCTTATTCTTCTTCTAACATGACCAGCAGCTGCTCCTACTCCTTTAATGTCTTTACTCTTTCTTTTTGAAAGCCAGATGCTTCCCTTTGAAATGGACAGATGGTTTCTTTGACGGTAAATCTGGAATGATGATTTTCAAATCAGTCTAAGCCTGATTTCAGACCCATAATTCATAGGATTTTCTCTAAATGCTACGTCTCAGCTTTGTACCTTTCTTTTACTGGGAGTCTTCGGTTTATGATCATTTTTTCAGTAACCGTTAAAAGTTATAGTGATGCTGAATGAAGGAACTTACGGCTGGACCCTGAAGTTGCAGCCATTGCAGCGCCCCCACAGACACATGAGCAAAATTTGGGTTCTTTGCAGCCCACCTGAAGTTACAACTGCAAGGGTGCTTTAATTCCCTCCAATCTTCTCCCCGTCCATGTCCTTTTGACCCCCTGCACTCTGCAGCCCTTGCTGCCCTAGCTGCCCTTTGCCAACTTCTTGCTTCGGTTGCTGACCACACATGCCCACCTTGGCCTTTGTGAACAAGTTGCTAGTCACACAAAGGTTATCCTCCCCAGGTCGCACATGAGCGTGGCACGACAAAACCACGCTCGTCAAAATAGCGGTGATAAAACCACGTTGCTAAAGCCGCGACATCATCACCGTGATGTCATCACTGCCGCGACAACAGCATGGCGACAGAAGGGCCGATTTAAATTAAGGTAAGGGTTAGGATTAGGTTTAGGGGAGAAGATTGGAGGGAATTAAAGCACCCTTGCAGTTGTAACTTCAGGTGGGCTGCAAAGAACCCAAATTTTGCTCATGTGTCTGTGGGGGCGCTGCAATGGCTGCAACTTCAGGGTCCAGCCGTAAGTTCCTTCAT